GTCATAAATCATTTTTATTTTCTCTATACTTTTTTAGTTTTCACTTGTATATTCAGAAAAAATTATGTTATTTAAAAATTCAGAAAATTGTTGTTATTCTTTTTGTAGTTGAGCAGACTCAACTAAAATTATACAATATTTATCCTTCAGTAGTGAGCCAAATTTGGTCAAAATTAGTCACCTCTTTAAACTCACCACAGAATAAACTAAAAGAAGCACAATGAACAGTGGAACAAACACCAAATGCCCAATAGTTGCATTAATGTTAATCTCTCACTTTATTACACCGATTAGATAGACATAAAATGTGCACACATGGAGGCAATGAGAAAATAATGCTGTGATCTTGTGCTTAAAAGTGGTATAGACTGTATCCACAATGCAGAAGGAAAATAAGAGGGGCAGGTTGGAGAATAGAGTCTTAAAGCTTAAGCAAGTCAGTACAGTGTAGCAGACAGGTGTGGGCTCTGGCCTTGGAAACCTGGGCTCATTTACTGGGCCTTACATTTACTAGCTGTATGATCTTGCACAACTGTTTCCTCACCTATAAAATTGGGGGCTAGTGCAGGAAAGTAAATACCTCATAGGGTTACTGTGAGGAGTAAATGAATTAGTACCTCTAAAGTGTTCAGAAAAATGGTCTGGCATTATTATAATATTAATGCTAATTATTATTATATCTTAAGGTAGAGCTTGCAAGAAGTTTGAGTTTGGGTAAGTAACAGCAATGGGGAGGGTATTATAGGCAGAAGACACAACATGAGCAAAAGCACAGAGGTATTAGACAGAGCCCTGGCCTCTTAGACAACTCTAGTGACCAGGTAATAGATGGTCATATACTTCTATTTTTAAAGGCTCGGGGAAGTCCAACAAATTGAATTACTCCAGTCAAGACTTCTCCCTCATCTCTTGGTGCCTGTGATGGTTAATTTTATATCAATTTGGCTAGACTATCATGTCCTAGTTTTTGGTCAAATGTTAGTTGACGTTGCTGTGAAGGTATTCTGTAGATGTGACTAATACTTGTCAGTTTACTTTAAATAAAGCAAATTAACTTCCATAATGTGGGTAGGTCTCATTCAATCAGTTGAAGACCTTAAGAGTAACAACTGAAGTTTCCCAGAGAAGAAAAAATTCTGCCTCAAGACCATGATATGAAAATCCCATCTGGGTTCCCAGCCTTCTGGCCTTCCCTACAGATTTTGGACTCAAAATTGCACCTTAACTCTTACCTGAATTTCCAGCCTGTCAGCCTGCCCTACAGATTTCATACTTGTTAATCTTCTAGTGGTTCAGTGGTTCTTTTTCCCTAGAGAAACCTGAAGTGCCACTTGCCCTCAACAAAAGATACCATGATTTTCCTGGCTGTCCAAACACTGGGATCCAGTCCTATCTTCTTTCCATTCCCCAAATCAATTATCTCTAAGTTTTGCTCCCATTTCTTCCCAGGGGACATAATTAGTTCTCAGTAAGAAGTTAATAAATGGTGAGCACCTTTATAGGGAGGAACTTAAAAAGCATCTACTGAAATCTAACACGTTGGTGTCTGTCATGACAAAACCATAAAACATTATGCTAAGTGAAAAGAGACCCTTTTTTCCATAAATACTCCATCGCTATTGATTATTAATCAATTTCCACATTTTATGCAGCTCTAAACATGATTACAAAGGCTTGAACCAATCTGAAAGTAACTCTGAATGCAACTGAATCATGTAGAATATAAAATAATGTGTCAATATCATGTATTTTAAAAAATATGTATTCATGTCACAAAGATGAAAAGAAACATAGAAAAACACATAATTAAAAAAATAAAGACATCTACTTCACATCTGGCAATTATATGGTCAAGGTCCATGACTTCTTCCCATCCTGCAGTCAAGGCAGGCATGACTTTTCAATCACCACACTCCCCATCTAGACATGATCTCCTAAACCATCCTCATCTCTGCTCTAAGCATCCCCTGCACCTGACATGAGTCCTGATTTCCCTTCTGGATTTTGTCCAACCTTCTCAATCTGTAGATGACAAAACTGAAGCTCAGAGAGTGGTTGTATCTTTTCCAAGATTGTGTAGCTAGCTCACAGAAAAACTTGAGTCTAAATCTCTTGAGTTTTAGCCATGACATTTTTTAAATAGAAATAAGTATTTTAGGCATAAAACAAACCATAGAGAAGAATATAATAAGTATCTGTATACCTACAACCCAGTTTAAGAGTTTGAATTTGATGTTTATCATTTCCATACTGTTTTGGTACTTTTACTTCACATGACTGTTTCTATAAACAATACTTAGGGGCTGTTTGCATGTTTTAAAACACTCTATGATTAGTAACATATTGTCTACATCTTTCTGCATTCTGGATTTCCTCTCAAAATTATATTGTTCAGATGTATCCATCTCAACAATACTCTCGTACTTTCATTTTAATTACTGTATAGTCTTTCTATTAATCTATTCTATTGATCCATATTTGGTTATTTCTGATTTGTTGCTATTATAAGTAAAACTACCAGGAATATTCCTATGTGTGTCTTTTACAATATGTATCTAAGTGGTCCTAACCTCTTTACATCATACCACATATTCTCAGGTAAGGGCTAGGGAGAAGGGGCATCACTTTCTCACCTCTATGACTCTCCCTCTCCTGGGTTAGAAGGTGGAGAGGGTGACTATGTATAATTGGGGAGGGGGCAAATAGTCCCATTTCTTTTGAAATTTGACTTTCACCAACATAGATTCTTTATTTTGAATTTCAGATACAATTAAAAGGGGGTTTAAGATTTTTCTGTTTATAAGGAGATGTATTGGTCAAAAATGGGTTGTGATATCCAGTTAATTCAAAGAAGGCACTCCATAATAGTGCAATATTTCGACCATGTACAGAATGAGATGCTTAGGATGCCAGCAAAGCCTCTGAATATTCCTCAATTCCTCAAACAGATGTTTCTGCCTTCATTAGTCAGACCCTAAGCTCTTCCCTGACAGTATTTTCTTTCTAGGAGAGAGGTTGCAGACTGGTCACTGACATGCTCAGTTAGTCTGTGGGCATATATATATTTTTTATTTTGTTATCATTAATCTACAATTACATGAAGAACATTATGTTTACTAGGTCCCCCTTCACCCTTCACCAAGTCCCCCCCACAAACCCCATTACAGTCACTGTCCATCAGCATAGTAAGATGCTATAGAATCACTACTTGTCTTCTCTGTGTTGCACAGCCCTCCCCATTCCCCCACCCCACATTATACATGCTAATCATAATGCCCCCTTTCTTCTTCTCCGCCCTTATCTCTCCCTTCCCTCCCATTCTCCCCAGTCCCTTTCCCTTTGGTAACTGTTAGTCCATTCTTGGGTTCTGTGATTCTGCTGCTGTTTTGTTCCTTCAGTTTTTCGTTGTTCTTATACTCTCGGTGGGCATATTTTATTTGTTTTAATTGGTATTTGAAACACTGTCAGCCAATTTAACAAGTAGGACATTTTATATAAAAATCTGGACTTCTATATTCTCCAGCAATGTTAGGCTAGTGCTCAGTGACAGAATAACCTCTTCAATCTGTCACGGTCCCCAGCATTCCCTATATAGTCATACCACACCCTTCTTCATTTCATCGCCCGCCTAAGTCTGCTGTGCATCTGAGTTTGCCACCTCTGCTCCCAGGCCGTTCACTATGTCTTCCTTATGTTGAGCAGTTAAAGGAGCCACTTATACAAAGACTCAGCTCATGAAACTCAGACAAATACTGCAGCCTACCATGGGAGCTCACCTGTAGGCCAAGCAAACCAATACATAGGAATACAGGATTTTTGTTTCTCAAGAAACAGATGTTTCAGTCAAGACTGCCAGTGTTGAACTGAAACTTCCCTGAGTCAAGAAAATATCGTGGCTGATTCAGAAAAGCTCAGAGTACCTGGGCCTCAAGTATATCTCAGGCCTAATTGCATCTGTTCCTTGGTTCTGTGCCCAGAGATGAATATACAGTGATAGGATGTATTTTCACAAATGGCTTTGAGGGAAATGGTGGGAGATGGGGAGGGTGCAAGAGCCAGTTTCATTCCATTCAGTCATATTTGTGCTTATGAACTGCCAGAGATATGTATAAGCCAGACATGGACAAGTATTTCAAATACCAACTAAACCAAAATTTGAAGGTTTTCTAGGGTTGCTTTCATAATTGGTGCCTTTGGAATTTGGGGCATATGTTCAGGAAATTTAAAAATGAACAGTTCTGAAAATTCTGAGTAGCTGATGCAAAGTTAGGTTGAAATTTGTATGATTTTTGTATCATCGTTTTGGTGAACTCATGAACTCATGCTTCATGCCATGTGACTCCTAGATTATAAGAGGAGAGGTGGCTTTCCCAAGAAAGCTAGAAACACCCATTTTACAACATAACCGAGGACTGTTGATCCCCAACACACCACTTCCCAGGGTCTAAGCTTTTCATCCAACCAGTCTGAATGATTTCAACAACCCCGTTTTTCCCTGACCTCCAAATCATCCTTTCTCTTGTGCAAATTCTATCTCCAAGCCTGTCAACCTCACAGAGAGACCTCTATTCCCCCAGCATTACATCTTGATTCATAGCTCCCAACAATGTACTTAGTAATTGTTGCAAAAACATAAGTTACTGACTGCATCACAGTTGAGTATCTTCCCCTTGCTGTTACATTTTAATTAGGTTTCTAAGTATGTGAGCCCAGATATGCTAGGTAGTATTCCTTAGAAGTGCTGAGGAATCTAGACAGACCAAAGGCTACATAATAGCTCTGCAGCTGTGAAGCAGACACCATCTTTGTTCTCCAATAAAGGTATAGAACAATGCAGGGTTGCAAGAACAACTAGCTAAAATGCCACTGAATGGGAAGATTCTGTACAAGTCTAAACTATTCATTTGTCCTTTGTGCATTAATAGAACAGGGATTATTTCTTAATTCAAGCTGGGAGAGAAAAAGAGGTGAAGTAGAAAGAAAAAATCATGACTACTCACAGTTCCATTTATTTCTGTCCGTATTGTGGTAACAGATCTTTTTGTTGTGTCTGGAAAAGAAAAATCCCAGTGATGGAATAAGATTAATGAGAAAAGTGTTCTGTTAATAGGCTAAAAGATTGCAAACAATAAGTAAACAAATCTACATACAGAAGTCCAAATGTCTACCATGGCTTGAGATGTCAGCCTGAATAATATATAAGGCAAAACTGTACCCATAGGCAAAAATTGTGAACAAAAGAGTCCTCCACTTCCCAATTCCTTTGTCTCTCCTTGTTCTCTGGGCACTCAGAAGCTGAGGGGCTGCTAATTTTGGTAGTCAGCCCAGGAAATGTCTGGCTCCAGAATTCTCTCTTTAGTTTCCACTGCCACTTCCTTCCTGTCTACACACAGCAGAAGGTATGATCAATTATTTTGCATTAAGGTGCAAATGACTGATACTGGTTTAAAACAACTTACTGGGCAGAAGCAGAAGTTCACATAACGGGATGCTGCTCACCACCATCTCCCTCATTTCATCTCTTTCTCAGACTCTGATTTAATATGTTACCTCCCCTTCTGATTTCTTCCAGGTCTTGATGTCCATCTCCTGCAGTTGCCTGGGTTCCTGAACTCAGTCCATCTCTAATTCTGTTTTTGCTCCATACACCAGATTTTTAATAACTCCCTCATGACCATCCTGACCTTGGCCTGGAACTTTGAGGGCTTCTATCTGGCACTGTAGTCTCCTTCAAGAGGGTTTACATTTGAAAGGAGCTTAATGGTTAACACATAGGAATTGCCCTTGAATGTTGGAGTTTCATGGAAGGCCTTCCTAATCCCTGAGAGGTCTGTGCTGTCATTCTCTTTGGTTCTTCTGTAAGCCAGCATTTTGGCCTTTGGTTCAAATCCCTATGAAGTCCTGACTCAGGCTTTCAGGGCAGTGCCACTCAAAGTAAAGTCCAGGAGCTGGAGCTGGTAGATGAATTCTTTGTTTCCAGTCCATGATAACTATAGAAATCAAGTGAAACATATAGAAACTTCAACATAATTCTTTTATTATGTTATTTTTTTATCACATTTTTTGAAATGTCCTATTTATTGAATCCAGTAAAAATTGGCTTTATTGTTTTATGCCTTTGTTCTTTCTATTTCATTGTTTGGTAATTCGTCTTTAATATATATCAGAAAGATATTTAGAAAAATTTAAAAAAAACAAACTTTTTTTAACCATAGAGAGTTGAGATATACTGTTCATAAGATCTGAAAACATGTCCTAGAGATCTGATGTCTATACCTGGTAACTCCTCCAATTCTGTTCTTGGGTTTGTTCAGCAAGTCAATGAAAAAGTCACTCAATTCTTTTGGGTTTGAAACTCTCTCCTTCTGCAGCCCAAAGATAATATTGCTCACATTGACTCATTTTAACCAAGCCCTTTTGTAACAAAAAGGCCACGAGTTTTAGAGTTAGACTTGTGTTCAAATTCCCAACTATATAATTTTATTTTCTGAGCTTCAGTTTCTTTCTCAGCAAAACAGACATACTCCTTGCCTTGAGCAGTTTTTGTGAAACTGAAAAGAAATTTGTAAAGGGTGCAACACAGTGCTGTTTAATAGAACTTCCTGCAAAGATGGAAATATTAATGTATCTGCTCTGTCCAATATAGCAGCCACTAGCCTCATGTGGCTATTGAGCACTTACAATGTGTGAGCTCAATATTGTAAGCTCTTTTTATTAAATTTAAATAACCACATCTGAATACTATATTGTATAGAGCAGGTTAGTATATATACCTTTGTATAGTAGGTTACATGTTTACAATTTTATTGAACATCTATATGGACCAGGAAATGTGGGAGACATACAACATATATTGGTCAATAAAAGAAGCCCAGTTCCTGCACTCATCAAACTTAAATACTAATAGATGAAGCAGAACTTGGCATTATTTTTGCAGCAGGAGCTGCTAAATTCTCCTCTGGAACACAGCAAGTCATTCTGGGTTGAATGACCTCATAGGTGGAAATAAATGGTAAACAGAACCTTTTACAGACTAACAACAGCTGCCTTCCCAATACATCTTGGTGTGCAGAGCTGGGCACTAAGGTATAGGTGGATAATTCTGTTTAGGAGCCAAGGAGTCTCTGGATGGGACTGAGATTGCTACCTGTTCACTTGTCTCTCTCCAATAGACCGAGAAGTTCAAGACAACAATGGCACTAAGAGGAACTCAAAAGAAGGAAGTTAGAATCGGCATCCCAGGCTTAACAAGGGGCCTAGAGCAGCAGAGGCTAGCTGGGCACAGCTGTGGTTAAGGCAGGAAGCCCCTTCTGCCTCATCAGCCTGTGAATGTCTTGCTTTGGCAGAACATATGAGGGGAGCCAGAAAAGTTGTCATTTTGTATCACTCTGGTGTGTTTGGGATCCGGACCAGCAAGAGTACCCTTTCATCATGGATGGAGACACCCAGAGGGAGTAGAGATGTTGAGTGGCAGGAGTAGAAACAGCAACAGCTCAAAACCAAGGCCCTCTGGTGAGCTGACCTAGATCCCCAGCAGCCTTCCTGCCTCTTTGGAAGCAGCACTGGCCCTGTGGGCTAAGTCCATCTCCTGACACTAGCAGGAGTTAGGGAAGTACATGCTGTAAGAGAGAGACACTGACTTCTGCTAACATGGGAAGGTAGTTGCTTAAGGAATTCATTGGAAAATTAAAAGGGATGCAATTACATTTGTAGCCCAAGCTATTAAAACAGTTCCCAGATATGTAATTGTGTATTGAGTGTATTAAAAAAGAGAAGTAGGTGCTATTGAGATATACGACAAGAGGATTTACTGTAATGGGTGTGGTGAGGGGGTAAAATTGGGGGCTGTTTGATGAAGTGACAGTTTAGCTAAGATTTAAAGGCCAACTCCAACTGCAGGTGGATAAGTAGAAGAAAGTATGTTAAGAAAAGCAAATAGCATACAAGAAAACTCAGAATTGAAAGAATGGGATGCCTCTGAGGACTAGAAAATCCTATATGGCTAGTGCTTGGAGAATAAGGGCAATGGTTATGTGGTATAAAGCTGTAAATATGAATTACACCTCCCAGGATTTGTTGGGAATTCATCCAGTGGGCAATGGAAAGCCACGTAAGAGGTCTGAGCAGAGGAGACATGGTAGACTGGAGGATTTAAAAGCCTCTCCTAGCTAAAAATGAATATAAACCATATTGGAGGTAGCAGGAGTCAATGTGGGAGACAGTTTGGGAGGGCTCTGCTTTAGTCTAGGCTGAAGCACAGTAGTGGCAGTGAGGTTGGGTCAAGAAACTGTAAAATGTTCCTTCTCTTGTCATTTCCCACTTTACAGACAGAAAAACATCTCAAAGAAGTGAGGGGATTTGTACAAGGTCAGAGAGCCAATAAATGACTAGACTTCCAACTTGGTTTGAAGCTCTTGCCATAGTGCTAGCAGTTCTCACCCTTTTCTGTGACATATGGGTTTGTGTGCACAGCAGGTGCATTTCCATGTGTGTGTCCATGTGTGTCCCATGCAAGAAAGCAGATTCCGATGCATCTGAGTTAGAGAGGAGAGTTATTATATTGGCAACTGTGATTTCATTCTGGCTCATTAAGAGCAAGAAAAGGAATTATTTGCAAGTTTACTCACTTAACTCTTATTAGCAACAAATGTCTCCCACAGCAACTGGTACCTGAGCCTTGCACCCAACTTGCAGCTAATGACACCCTTACTCACTCGAGATTGGGTTGAAGGGAGGATTTTTTTCTTTTGAATGTGACTCTATTTCACTCAACTAAATACAGTAGGCATGGAATACTGTGATCATTTCTGGGGTGACAAATGGGTTCTCAGGCCCCAGGCTTGGAACCTTGGTATACAACTGTTTCTGAGAGGTATATATGGTGGAGGTAAAAGAAGAATGGCATAAGATAAGATTCTAATGAACTGCATCTGTCATGACTCTCTAAGGTCATAGATTTGCAGAAGTGATTCTGTTCAGTCAGAGTTCTGTGGGACAAGACCCTATAATTCCTCCTCTATGGTGAAATACCCAACCCTCCCACTTCTGTCATTTCTCTTTCTTTTCTCATTTTCTTTTCTTCCTTCTTTCTTTTCCCCTTTCTTCTCTCTTCTTCCTCCTCTCCCCACCTTTCTTTTTACAATAGTTTCTTGTATTCTGCAGCAGGGACTTTTGTGATTAGCACCCAAGGTAAAGCACACATAGGGCAATGGACAAATGCAGTACGACAATATTTCATGACAGGTGAGAGTATAGAAGTTAGACTATAAATGCAGGATCACAACCACCCAAAAGTCTCCTAATCCTCAAATAGCGACCACTGCAAATTCCTACTGAATTATTTCCAGATGTCATTTCCTTTTCTATACACAAGTCCACATGTAGATCTCGGCAGGAGCTTGTTGGATGCTGGCAAAGAGACAGTTTAGGGAAGCACCAGATCAGCCTGCAAGTATTCTGACCAGGGCTCAGCGGCTGCAGGCATGTGCTGTCCCAGCTGGCATGCTAGAAAAGGGTGTGTCAGTGAGAATATGACACCCTTAGAAGGGAACCTGGGGGAGCTGCTAGGACATCTCAGGGCACCACCCCACCTTCAAATGGCTTCACACACTTTTCTCCTTTCCTTACCAACCAAGGGTTTCAGATTATTGGGGGTAGGAGGAGGGCTTAGCCCAGTTCGTACCAAGAATGGCAAAAGAGGAATGAAAACAAAAGGAATCCTCAGAAAGGACCTTGGTATCCTTGTGCCAGTGAACTCTGACCACATAGCTGTCTGCACTGCCAAACTGCACTGATCCCATGAGGTTGACGACACTTGGCTCAAAGAACAAAGCAAACTATGTCAGCCACAGGAACAAAACATTCCTTTTAAAACATTCAGGTTAAGAACTTCGGCTCACTGAAGACTAGAGAATTTCTTCTGGGGTAAAATGATCAGGACAAGCCAAAAGCAATTCATAAGCTTTGAGTGGATTTAGAGTAAAACTGGGAAGCTGTTATGATCAGGACAAGCCAAAAGCAATTCATAAGCTTTGAGTGGATTTAGAGTAA